AAATCTTGCAAATCTGAAAGTAAATTTCTCCCCCTTCACTTTACATCCCAAGAAACTAGGAAGGATCCCTTTGAAGATATTTGTCATGCCCACATCCCTTCCCGAAGGCTAAGCTGCCTCTTATCTAATTGCTCTCCTGACTGTACAGTAGCTTTTCTCCCATATCCCAAGGTCATTCCCACATACCATTGCATCTACCAACTATAGTATGCATTTCATTTCATTAGATTGTTGTTGCTTTCCAATTTTCCAATAAAATGGCTTTATTTTATTAAATTGAAAGACTCCAGCAATGTTTTATTTGACCAGAGATTAAAACCGAATGGTTTAAAAAAAAGTGGAGCAGGAAACCCTATATCATTCCAGACAAGTGGCTCTCCAGTCTCTTCTCAAAAGGGTCCAGTGATGGAGCTTCTGAAGGCAAACTGTTGCTCTGGTTAATTGTTCTCAGTGTTAGGAAATTTCTCTTTATGTCTAGGTTGTTTTTCGCCTTGATTAGTTTCCATCCATTGTTTCTTATCTTGCCCTCTGGTGCTTTGGAAAATAGGTTGATGCCCTCTTCTTTGTTGCAAATATTGGAATGCTGCTATCATGTCATCTCTAGTCCTTTTTTTCACTAGACTAGACAAAGCCAATTCCTGCAACCATTCTTCATATGTTTTAGCCTCCAACCCTCTAATCATCTTTATTGCTCTTTTCTGCACTCTTTCCAGAGTCTCTACATCTTTTTTATATTGTGGTACCCAACACTGGATGTAGAATTGTAAGTGCGGTCTTACTAAGGCTTTATAAAGTGGTATTAAAACTTCACATGATCTTGATTCTGTCCCTCTGTTAATGCAGCCTAGGACTGTGTTGGCTTTTTTTGGGTGCTGCCATGCACTGCTGGCTCATATTTAAGGGATTGTTCACTAGGACTCTGAGATCCCTCTCACAGTTACTACTATTGTGACAGGTTTAACCTAATCTACATTTGATTTTTTTTTTTTTGCCTAAGTATAAAACCTTACTCTTCTCTCCGTTGAATTTTATTTTGCTAGATAGGGCACAAAATGTGTAGTTCTCAGAAATTCATCCATCCCCAATTTGAAATTCCCAATGTCCTGCCTAACAAGGCACCAGGATCAGCTGTTGCCAGCAAAGACAGAGTTGGTTATCAACCACGAAGATTATCCTAGAAATAAAAAATAATAATATCTTGTTCATAATCGATTTGCCAGATCAGGGGAAGGATTCACTGATTAGGGACGGTATGTTCATATTTCTATCACTTCTAGTATATGACTCATTGTTGGCTTACTTTAGTTTTAAGTAGTGTCCCCCTTTTAAGCACTTTTGTCTTGTTTGCTTCTTCCTGTTCTGGTGTAGCTTAATTGGTTGAAGAGTAAGCTTACGTTTTAATAGCCAGGAATATTAAGATATACTAAGTTGTAAAACATTCATATCCCTTCTGTATTTTCAACACTATGATGTATTTCTGTCATTTTCAAGCTGTGGAAGGCATAAAACAATAGGAAGACAACAACCGATATAGTTTAGGCCAGTGGTGGCGAACCCATGGCACGGGTGCCAGAGGTGGCACTCAGAGCCCTCTCTGTGGGCACGCGCGCCATCGCCCCAGTCCTAAGTCTTCAGCTGGGTTTTATAAAACCTTTTCGCTTTAGGCCTCTGTTGCCGTGTGGAAAAAAAAGTTCAATCGATCAATCAATTTCAACTTCTCGTGGGGGGGAAAAAGATCTTGCAAAGTTAGAATTGATTGATTAAATATTTTAGTCCCACCCAATCTGCCATTGGGCCACACCCACCCAATGGGCCACACCCATCCGGCACCTGACGATGCATAAGTAGGTTTTGGGTTGCAGTTTGGGCACTCGGTCTCTAAAAGGTTCGCCATCACTGGTTTAGGCACACCTGGCTTTAATCCATAAGCATCTTGCTTCCTGCCTTAAAATCAGCAACAAGATAAAGCCAAGTGGCATTAAGAGTTTGGTGACCGGCTTACAATTTTTATGGAAGAGGAGTCCCAGTGAAATCAGCCTACACTGTTACTGCAACACTGGTGAAGGATTTTAATTTCCTTTTCTTTTTCCATCTGGGAGACTGGACACACAACATCATAGAAGTTAACTGTACACATTGCTTTGTTGTAGCACACATCTTCCCCAACAATTGGCTGCTATTCTGAATTAACTCCACCTTCCTAGGTTTTGCAAATTGAAGTAGCCACGAAAAAGTCTTTGATCTGTAGTCCTTAGCTTGTGGTCTTGGCAATTGATTGACAATCCTCTTGCTTGCCTGTAATGGTTGTAAATGCCCAGGCTTGCTGTCTTCTCTTTATTGCCTTTATTGCCTTTTCTCCTACAGACTCCTATACTGTCAGTATTAGCTTTCCCTTTTGTAGGCTAGGAGCCAGCAAAATGAGCCCAACTGAGTCTCGGTTTCTGAGACTGTAAACTTTTACAGCAGTTTGGGAAAAGATATGAGAAACTGGGGCTGGGAAGTATTTCTGCCTGGCTGCAGCTGCTTTTACAAAGTTGCGGACAGCAACCCCAGTTTTACTTCTTCACGCTATCCCATTTTTTTTAAAGTCTGAACTTTCTCTTCCTTAAACTAATATGTACCCCTTGGAGAGATGTAGAGGCACAAGACGGACACTAGAAGCTTTGAAAGCAAGAAGTAGATCAGATTGGAACATTAGTACAACACCTTTCCCTAATCTTATTGCTTTCAAATGTTGAAGTTCTGTTCCCAAGACTGTCAGCAATTGCCATGCTTGTAGGAGAATTCTGGGACTTGAAGTTCATATAAAAATTTGTAAAATTGGGCAGGATATATTTCATATTTGTAAATCAACCAACAAATAACCCTATCTATTTATTTATCTGGAGTGCATTCAGGTTGTAAAAGGCTGAGTTAACCCACATTTGCGTGGATAATTCAATCCAAATATCAAATTCCTGGTGTGTATTCATTATTTTTTTAAAAATTACAAGTAATTTATCACAACTTCCCATGTTATGTTGATTTTGGTCCAAAATATCACTTATTCATACATTCATTCATTCAAATTTGTTTTGCTTATTATAATCAAAAAACTCTCATAGATGTTTGGATAGTAGATTGAGAACTAGATTGAGATCCTCTGAGTTAAATCCCCAGTAATATAGCTCTCAATTTATTTTCTTAACTCTGAAATTATGACAATTCTCAGAGTTCATAAACAGCATCAGTGTGACTGGAGAGAGGTTTCCCATCAGTTGTTAACTTTCAGCATGCTGTAGCGAAGTTTATCCATAAACTTTGGACTGTCTATAGAATTGTACTTGCTAGTGAAGTGTTTTAAAGTATTTTATCTGTTATTTTAAATGTATACTCTTTCAACATTAAGCGCTGTGGGGTGAAGTGGTTAGAATGCAGTATTGCAGACAAACTCTGCCCACTGCCAGTAGTTCGATCCTGACCAGCTCAAGGTTGACTCAACCTTCCATCCTAACAAGGTAAAATGAGGACCCGGACTGCTGGCGGCAATAATCTGACATTTGTAAACCACTTAAGAGAGGGCTGTAAAGCACTATGAAGTGGTATATAAGCCTAAGTGCTGTTGCCATGGGATAACAATAGGAGCAAAACTGCATTTATTGGTTTACTTCAAATGGGGACTGTATCATAAATGGATATGACGTGGTAGGTTTGCTGTTTCTATTCCTGTTCCCAAGCATGGTGTTCCTGAGCTTCCTCAATCTTCATGTCTAACTATACATATTGATTGGCAAGATCTGCATGAAGATTCTGCTCACTTTACCTCCATAATGATTTTTTTTAAAAAAAATACAATACCTTGGTTAATACAGCAAATTTGGGTATTGTGCAGATATAAAGCCAGCATGTGTGGCCTGGACTTCTGCTCTGTACTTAAAATTCACACTGGGCTGCTCTTCTGCTTAAAAATTTATACTACAGAATTAAAACTGCCATAATATGATTAATGATGGCTTTCCATAAAAGGCTTTAATTACAGAATGGAACAATATATCTCACTTGGAAAGTTTCCAAAAATTCACATTAGATTCCATTATTGCAAAGACATCCTGACATCCTATTTTTCTTTACATTTAATCTCTTCCTTTGTATTTGTTTCCCAAATTATCCTCATTACAACTGGGAAATAAACATAGGCCTAATGGTCATCCAACAGCTGTGTTGTGTTTACAATTCAATAGATCCCAAACAGAACTATTCCTCATGATTTGCTGACAAAATGAAAGGATGTTTTTTTTTTGTAATGTTCTTTACAGAATTCTATAAATAATACCAAAGCCTGGCACAAATGCCCCATAAAATTTAGGACTCATGCTCACCATCTAAGATTTACAAACACTGCATATATTTTCATTCACAGTTACGAATTCTCTTAGATAATTCTCTTGCACAACTCAACAGCAACAGACTGCTAAAGATTACTCAGAAGAGGCTCAGTAGCACTAATTTAGGAAAAAAGAACATGCAGGTTTATATTAGAATTTCTTCCATGAAAACAACAGAGAAATTAAACTGCCATAACTGAGTTCACTGAGTTGATGAGGTTAGCCTCAACTTCCTTTCTTTCAATTAAAAGGAAAGGTACAATTGCAATTAACTACAATTTCTTTTAGCAACACTGGTTTCTCTCTCTCTCTCTCTCTCTCTCTCCCTCCCTCCCTCCCTCCCTCCCCCCCTCTCTCTCCTCTTAAAATAAACTAACTATACTTAAAAAGACCTGCAAATTCTTGGCAGCCAAGTATTTATTTGTCCCATGCAGCCAACTTGCAAAGCACCATATCCACAGTATAATAAATAAAAATCCCATTTAAACTGACTTCTCAGCATTTAGCAATCCCTTCTTTTCAAAAGTGCCACTTCCTTGTTTATGTTGCTTCATGCGAGGTCTAGAATATTATCCCATTTCCATCTCTATGTTCTCTCCCACTCACCCACCCCATCCCAACCGCAGATGTACATACCTTATGCAGTATATCTTCATTATAGTAACTTGTATTTTGGATACCAAACTCATTGGCACCCAGCTCTGAGTAGGCATAAGGGCTTCCAGCCCCACTCTGATATCCCCAGTAAGTCTCCATTCCTTTTTTGAGATGAATTTTCTTGCGGCAGTGCTAAAAGCAAACGGCTCCGGGCCAAACCTCAATGCAGCAAACAAGCACAGCTCGAGTCTGCTACATTTCCCTCCTATCCGGAAAAGGAAAAAGTGAAAATGAAAGAAAGGTGGAAAATGGCGGGGGGGTGGAGGGGTGGGAGGTCGCAAAGTGCTAAAGAAACGGAAGCCCCGAAGCTTCGATAAGATTCAAAAGATTGCAGAGCCCGGAGCGCTTTCAGCACCAAGGTTAGCTCCCGTGTCAAGATTTGAAGACTCTTTTGCTCCAGTCAAAGCAGAGCTCCAGCAAAGTCCGAACGCGTCGTAACCCTTCCAGCACCGTTTGTACATCACTGATAGCACAGCATCCGAGGTTAGATGCGGAAAGAGAGAGGGGGGGTAGGGAGGGAGGGGGGAAGAGAGAGAAAGAATGAGAGAGAGAAGTACACCGCAGTCAAGCTTTTGGCGCGGTCCCTTTAATTTTCTAAACTTGAATAAACATTGAGTCTTTCCTTCTTACATCACACTGCCCCTTGGGTCCTATTCTGGCACTACCAGCAACTTTCTAATCTAGCACTGCGGATTTCAAGGGAGAATCAAAAGGATATGAATAGCTGTTAAAACGTTCAACTGCAGGGGTTTTTTTTCCCCATGTCCTGCAGAGTTAGGTAAAAGTAATCTGATCCTACATCTAACCAAGCAAATAAACCTGCATGTTTCTTCCATACAAAAAGAAGAGTATGTACTTCTGGATTGCTGATGTATGGCCAGGGGACCTTATTGCATTAGTTATGCAATCAGGATGTGTGATCATGAAAAGGAAGACGTATTGTACTTAACAAATACTGTGAAGAATATCAGAAGCCACTTCTTTATATCTTTTTTCTTTCTTTTCCATTTTTCAGTTTTTCAACTTTTTTTTCTCTTTTTGCACGTTTTGCCTCTTCTTTGATTTCTTTGTCTTTTTTCCCTTATTTTATATTAGTTCACATTAGTTTTTTTTTTGTTTAAAAGTTTTAATAAAAATTATATTCCTTAAAAAAGAAAACAAAAATGTATTATTTCCTCCAAATAAAATAGCGGCACTTGGAAATCTGTATTAGTTGAGAAGGTGTGGGTTCCTGTGTAATTCAATATCCTCTAGAAAAGTCTATATGGAATATGGCTTGTTACCTCTATACATCCCAGAGGATCACACGGGGTGAGTATTCTCTGGTCCTCTTTCTTGAAGCAGGGTCATCTAATGGGACTTAGGAGATGTCCCTTCTCTGTTATTGTGCCTGCCCTTTAAAAAGCATCCCCCCCCCCTGCTCTGAGGTTGAAGTGGCCCCAACCTTATCACATTTCTGAAGATCTGGCTTTTTTCCTGTGCATTAGAGCAATATAGCAGGTGGACACATTCTATTGTGAGAAGGAGAGTTTCCAACTTGCCAGGACCCATCCACCATGCCAACTCACCACAACCAGCTCGCCGTGGGACAAATCCCCATGGGACAATTCAACAATTCTATTTAATTATTTAAAATAATATACAAAAAGTTATTTTATTTTTTGTCATTAACATTTCATTTCATTCTTCCTTCTGCAGCCTTTCTTTAATGATTCTATTCCACCATTTCTTCAATATTAATGTAACTTGCCCCGCAGCAAGTTGGCCATAGTGAGTTGGCTGTGGTGAGTTGTCCTAAAAGACCTGGGTTTTTTTTTTTCCTGTGCATTGGAACAATATAGCAGATGATCTCATTTTATTGTGAGAAGGAGCATTTCCTATAGACAGCCCCCCCGCTATATTTTGATTATGTTCTGTTACATTTATGTTGTACTGTATTTATTTTTGCTATATCGATTTAACATTTTTTCTTGATGCACTCCACCAAGAATCACCAACTGCAAGTAGGACAGTCTTATACAATAAATAAATACCCAACAAATTTAGTAGGTGAATGTTTGTTCTATGCTGTTCTCATTTATTTGCCTGGTGTGAATCAGCTGACTGAACCTGGGGGGGGGTGAAATCTGGAGGGTACCAGCTTGGGAAAATATGTACTGAGCTGCAGGCTCTGTCATTATTGCAGCTTAAGAGGTTTCTCTAAAGTCACAGCATGACATTGTCATAGGCTCATTCCCTACTTACATTAGCCTTTTAAGTATGCCTGATTCTTTGCATGGCTCAACACATTAACTGATTGCTGTGGAAAGCCATTCAAATGCATGAAAATTAACATGTGCTGTAGCCATCAGGTGATAGACATGCAGGAAGGAAGCAGCCCTAAGGTCCATCACATAAGAATGTTGCAAGGAAGAGTAAATGCTGGGAGACACTTACAGAGTAACATCATGGGAGATACATTTTTATATAGAAGTTTAGGTTGCACTTAGTACCTTGGCACAGCTTAATCACATTTTCAGTACTTCTTGATTGTGTGATTGCTTGTTTGTGTGTGTGTGAACATATCTGTGTGCATGTGCGTACACATAGATACATATATACATACATTCACAAGATCTGAAAAAAATCATTATTTTCATTCAATGTACTTTGTTTTAAAAGTTGAAGAAGATCATCTTCACTGCTGGATTTCAGAAACTTAACATTTATAGTGGCAAGAGCTCCATGAAGGATTTTCTCTCATTCTGAATCTGCAGGCACCTAGCTTCTCAATGAGAAGATTTCATGAATGCATTCTTCCATGTACGCTAACAAAGCTTTCCTGCTCCTCTACATCTATGGGTAGACTCACTAGATTGTTCTCGGTGAGTTGTCTGTGTCTTTTAAATAATCCAGTTTTCAGATTTCTCATAAGCTTATCACAACAGTGTTCCTTTTCTTCCAAAATCTGGGAAATAACAATAATATTCTTCAGTGCTTCCACACCTTTGTCAAACTCCAATGCTTGGGTGTTTATAGTTTAAGTTCCTCATGGATCCCAGATATGCCATGTTCCAGATTTATAAATCTACTGCATAGCCTAAGTGTTAAGATATTGAGGGATCCTTGTTGCTCTCTGAGCTTGGTTGTTTCCTTGCAGACTTTTCATTCTCTGAAGATCATCAGTGCTAGCAGCACCTCATTAGCCCCAATGATGTTTACTTAATTTGGGCAACGAAATGTGTGCAAGAAAACAAGCAAGCTCAGAGAGCACCAAGGATCCCTCATGTCAACCCTGCGCTACAAATATTCTCCTTTATTATTTAGATACTGACTGAAATTTCACCATTAATTCAAAGCTAATTATTTCTTCCCATTTTATCTCTAGTTAATATGGTTGCATCTAGTCTGACAGAGTCTGGGGAAGCTTCCATTGCTCCCTATTCACAATTTCAATCAAGGGCAAAAGCTCATCTATTATCCACTTTCATCTCTATTCTCTAGAGCGGAGCTCTTCACACAAGATGGTTGAAGGGGAACTATCTTCATTTTACAGGCCCATTACTAAAATAACGCTATATCCTAGTTGTTGCTATGAGAGTTTGGACATAAATCATTCACCACTTATTTATATGAACAATTCCATCCACAGGCTTGGAATGAGGTAAAGAAAGACAACTGCTTAGGCAGCCATCACACTAGAAATCTGAGTGCAGAAACTTAGCCTAAGAGACTACCTTAGAGAGGAGATGGGCAGCATACAAATTTAATAAATAAAATAGATAAATAAAGAGAAATTGTGTGTATCAAGGGACAGGCAGAGAAAGAATGTGCAGTTGAAGATGGAGCAGGAGGAAATAGGTGGGCATGATTGGGTTGGCATGGACGGGCGGGTGTGGGCGGCTCATTGCACATGGGTCATTGTGGATGGGTCAGCGCAGATGGATGGATGCAGATGGTTCAGCCCTGCTGACTGGATGCGGAACAGGTGGCCCCGGCCAACTGGACATCGGTATAACTCAAAAGAAACATCAGGCCCTAATGTGCTGACTGATAGGATGTGGGGACAGGGACAACTTGTGGGGAGGGGAATCACTGATGCAGGACAATTTGGGCTAAGCAGGATGGGGAGGGGCACTTCCCCCCCATACACACACCAGAAGAAACATTGTCCCATTCCAGCCTGAGATGCAATGGAGTGGTGGACCTCATAATTAGGGCTGTCTTGCCCTATCAAGTGCCTCCCCGCCTCCCAGAATGGGAAGCTCAACCTGGTGAGCACCTGGACTATGCACTGTGCCGAGCCTCTGTCCTTCTCCAGATTGTGGTCCTGCTGCTGCTGTTCCAGGGATGACTGCTTGGGATGCCAGCCAGAGCATTCCACGAAAGGACTGACCTTCTGCCTGCGGCTTCCCCTACTCTGCTGTCCTGCTCACTCGCACATACACGTAAGAGTGGTTTAGTGGGTTTATTAATATTCCCCAGCAATTTCCTTCATCAAAACCCCAGAATTATCCCAATTAAGTCCAGCCAAAAACAAACCAATGCTAATCCACAGAGCAATGGCTAATGAGTCAAGGTACTTGAATGTTTCCCAAACAAGGCAAATCTACCAGGCAAAGTTAAATCCACAACACAAGAGAAGTCCAGAGTTCACAAGGCACAATCCAAAGTCAATCCAAAGCAATGCAGGGATCACAACAACCAGGAAACAGCTAGGAAATGAACATGTTGTTCCCAGCATTGTCTCCATTTGTCTGCTATGCTAAATAGCCACCTTCTGGTGCAGCCCATCAAGAGGGATGAGGCTGCCTCCTCACCAGTAATTGGGATGACCTTCATTGTTCCTACCTTTTCTCTGCCCTATGTGTTCTCGGGTCAGGTGCAGAAGGCAGTTCCTCTTGTTCATCACTGACCAGCTACAGCTGCATACTTTCCCCACCTGAAGCATCAGGGCTATTCTGCTTCAGCCAAATCCCTCTCAGCCGGCTGCTTGGAGCCTTTGACCAATTCCCCTCCTGACGTGCCCGGGACTGGTTCATCTTCCTCCAAACTGACATCTGGAGAGGTATGTGGGGAAGCATGCAGGGGAGTCATCACACCTACAAAGAATCAAGAGAGGAAGCCTGAGAAACACACTTCTGCAGGGGAAACTCATCTGTGCCAACCTGGCCATGCCCACCCTTCTGCACCAAGCTGGCAGTGCCCATCTGATCATGTCCATCCGGCTGCACCCAGCAATCCACACCAACCTGGCCACAGTGAATTGTCCTAGACCCTCCAGCTCCAGTTCCACCTTCACCCCCCCCCCAAACCCCAGCAACAAGCAACAAGCTTAACTGAAAGTGCTGAGAGAAACTGCATGAATCAAGGAGGAAGGGATTGAAACACAGGAAAGACTACAAAAATTGTTTGGAGGTGTCTGTGCAG